TCACGCTATTTCTACAAATGAACCGTTTTAAATTTCCAATGATTGGTAGAGATCATGGTAAACAGGTTAAGCTCAACAGGACATGGCAAATAGCCAAGCTGTGTGTCGTTATCTTTCATCCGAGCAGTTCTGAGCGTTCACATAAATTCCCTGTTGAAGCGTCCTATGTGCTCAAGAGCACGCAGCATGGTCGGACTCCGTGCCGTCCGCTGTAGACGCGCTCCGCACTGGTTTCGACGCCTGTCGGCAGGTGGCGCCGGCAGCGCGGCGGGGCCGGCCGCGCGCGGACGCCGCTGCCTGCCGCCGCCGGCCGCTTCTGTCACATGTGCCGCCGCTCGTTCCGCACCGAGCGCAAACCTCCGGCTGCACGTGGAGCGGCTACACAAGGTGGCCAGGTAGGGATGAGGCTGCCCGCTTTGGTGGACGCGGGCCGGACCCGGCTGTGCTCAGGGCAGTGGCACGGGACCTGAGCTGCCCGGGGGGGTGGGTGACCCCTCAGTCTGGTAGGCGAAGTGCTGCGTGATGCGTCGGGCTAGCTTGATGTTTCTGGAGAAGGAGCCAAATGCATAACCTGTATGAACTGTTAAATGTGATCTAGAATTCATAAGTGCTTTTGTCGAAACCCGATCCGAAGTTCTCTTCGTTTTAACGGTTAGTTTGTTTTCCCTAGACCCGCCCTCCCCCAACCTTATTGACCTACCATTGCCAGGTGTTCGTATGTGGTTGGTCAGAGCCAGTCGCGTCTTCCCCGGCCTTATAGGTCCGAATTCGCCCACGCTTTCTTTGATAAGTTCACCGAAGTAGACTATTCAGATTACTGTGCGGAGCGCAAGATAGCCCCCAATACCAAACAGCGTCTAGATGTGATGCGTCTAGATCTGTGATGATAAATCAAATTGGAAGTGGGACAAAGATTGGACTGATGGTTGGGTAGCGTGGAATAATCCATACTGCACTTATACGTCTGTATTTCACTGCTCATGTGGCGTGGGCTACTGCTGACCCTGCTCTGCTGCCAGCAACGAGAAGCAGCAGCCGTGGCTGGTGTTCGCCCTGCTGGCTCATGGTGTGCTGACCCTGCTCCGCTACCGGGAGAGGGGCAGCGGCCCGCAGCGAGCCGTGCCTGGTGCCCGCCTACTGACCTCCGTGCTGACCCTGCTCCGCTGCCGGGAGAGGAGCAGCGGCCCGTAGCAACCCCGCCTGGTGCCCGCCTACTGACCTCAGTGTGTCCCTGCTCCGCTGCCGGGAGAGGGCAGCGGCCCGTGCAACCCGCGCCTGGTGCCCGCCTGCTGACCTCCCCTGCTCCGTGCCGGCGAGAGGGCAGCGGCCCGTGGCGTCCCGTGCCTGGTGCCCGCGTGCTGACCTCTGTGCTGACCCTGCTCCGCTGCCGACAGCGAGGAGCAGCAGCCCGTGGCGGCTCGCGTATGGTGTCCACCCTGCTGCTGCCTGCTGGCCGCCTCGGACGCCGCCGGCCACGTGACGGACCACACGCACGCCGCGGCCGGCTGCACTGCGGCTGCTGCGACGTCAGCCTGGCCGACCCCACCGAGGCGGCCGACCACCTGGTGTCCGCCCACACGTCCAACTACATGTGCATCGTGTGGGTGGTCGGGACGCGACTGCGGTCAGGCGGAATCGAGCTAGGATCGTCGACCTATTGATCAATCGGTCCTTAGTGCGGCTAGTGCAGTACTTGCCTCGCTAACGCAGCGGGAAAGGTCGCAATGATGTGTGGACAATGCACTCGAAGTTGTGACAAGGCTGATACTAGGGGTCGGGGATGCGGATAAATGCTCGTCTACGTATGGAGGACAAAGGGTTCACGCACAACATCTTGCACCAGAACAGTTTGGGGTACGCCGACCTTTCGTCGCGCGTCGGCTGCCAGTCAGCGATATTGACTGTGACACCCCCTATTCCGTCCTCCGCGAGGTGCGTTTTGGTGGGCCGTCGCGCCTCACGTTGGAGGCTTTCATTGCCGCTCTCCGAATGATGTCGATATTGTCCGCTGACACCGCCGCCCGGGTCGGACAGCTGTTTGCAGATGTACAGCCGACAGGAGCAGCTCATCGACCACATGAACGCCAGCCACGACTCGGCGCCGGTTGATCCGGAGCAGCCGGACGCGTCCGACCCGGTGGCGGCCGTGTACGGCGAGCTGGTGCGCCGGCTGGAGACACGCGCCCGCCGCCTCCAGCTCAGCCTGCTGGGACGCACGGCCGTCCGCTGCCCGTACTGCACGCAGACCTGCTCCCTCCACTACCTGCGCACGCACCTCTACAAACATAAGACGGCCGGCTTCCGCTGCCGGGTCTGCGAGAAGCGCTTCAAGTTCCCCGTGTCGTTCCAGAAGCACCTGCTGCTGCATGCCGGCCGCGCCGACAAGTGTCCGCACTGCGATAGCGTCTTCACGGGCCGCAGCGGGTTGCGCAGCCACCTGCGCACGCACAGCGCCGAGCGCTGCTTCGCCTGCGATCTCTGCCAGAAGCGGTTCAAGTTCAAGCAGACGTGCGACGCCCACCGCCGGCGCGCGCACGGCGGCGGCGCGGCCAAGGTGTGCCACGTGTGTGGCGCCGAGTTTCGGCTGCAGTATCAGCTGACTGTGCACCTGGCGCGCCACCGCAACGGCCGCACGCTCCGCTGCCCGCTCTGCCCGCGCCTCTACGAGCTCAACCTCGACCTCAAGCGCCACCTGTACAGCAAGCACAAGCTCAAGGTGGCTGAGGCCGAGCGGCGCTTCCCCGAGATCGGCCGGCGGCCCAACACGCTGCTGGAGCCGGCAGCGACGGCGGAGGAGGAACGGCAGAACGCTCCTACGCCGGCCGCCTCGCCGCCCGTCGCCGAGTGTCGGACCGAGCAGGGGGCCGCCGCCGAGGATGACCTGCTGGGCGCCGACGACCCGCCGCCGGCTGCTGCCTTCCTGCCTGGCACAGCGCCGTCGGTAGCGCCCGAGAGCGCGGCCGCCGCACCGCTCGAGGTGGACCGACTGGTAGCGACGCCAGCTGAGATGCTGTCCGCCAATGGTGCACCTGTCCTGCTGCTGGTGGATGGTGCAGACGTGGGCGTGCTGGTGCGGGATGTCCTACCCACCTCCTCAGAAGCATTCTCTTGAGGTGGACACACTTGTGCATGGCTCAAGAGTGAGAATGTTAGTGCAGGATGTGCTGCCCATCTTGTATGCCACTTCCCTGGTGCAGGACCAGTTTGAAGGTGATAATGATAAAGGTGATAAGGTGATAACATGGCTGTATGCATGGATGCAGAACAATGATGTGCATGCAGTGCATGAAAACTGTCAAGTGTGCCTACTGCACTGTTCAGCAAAGGTGTGGAACCCATATCATATGTTCATGGTGAATGTTTGCAGACCATGTTATAGATAATACATGCCAGTGTTGCCAACAACCATACCAACATGCCTTATGCAAAATGCTCATTCATTGTTTACTGCACCACCCAACCAGCTTGCATTGCACTGAATTTTCAGCTTTTTCATATGTTCTTCAAAGCATTTTTGCCTGAAACTGCTTTTGAAACAGACAATAACACAATCTTAAGATTACATGCAAGTGTGTGTGTGTGTGCTCAAGGTGTAAAAAGCTAGTGGGGAGAAGTGTAATGCCCTTAACACACATGAATGATTACTTGAAAACTTAAGTTGCCATGCATGGATAACCAATATTCTGCTAATTGTGGTCTCTTTTTGACTCATGGAAATACTTTATCCCTATGGGTGGGGGGCACAGTGAAGCAAGTTTTACCTTGGGGGGCCTGTTTGAGGCTTCTGCAAGTATGCATGATTTCCCACTGCAGTATTTCCATAGTTGTGATAGCTCTTATCCCATCTCTTATACTTCTGTAGGATCCTTGGGTAAGAAGGTGCTCATGTAATACTGGCAATGCCTCTTATTACCCATGCACAACTGAGTCATTGCCCATGCTCTATGTACCTATTTTATTGACTGGGAATCTCCCTTCAAATGCAACCATATCATAGAGCCAGCTGATGTTTGAAACCTGATGGAGCATCTGGAGCAATAACAGCCACTGAGCCTCTCAAATACAGCACAGGAGTATGTATACATGGACCGGGCCACAACACCCTATGTCCAAAAAATCTGGTGTAGCGGTGACACCGCAGCAATGATTTCAATGCTGTCTACTTTAGATACGGAGCTTAAAACATCTGGATTCAGCTTAATATGAAGGAGATCCGAATTGGACGCACTGCCCGCATGAATTTTAGCACGGGGATACAACGCGACATCCCACTATAATGCACCTCAAACCGCTTCCAACAGTCCCTCAGTTTCGTATCGCATGCGCCAAGCATAGCAAACGGTCATAGATAGGCATGGTGAAAAAAGATTCTCCTTACGAACCATGGCCTGAAAATTATCCGGTAGTCCCCATAAGCACACATAAACATTGTGATAGACATTGCCGATAAATACTGTCCTGGAAAATGTACAACACTTCGGAAAGCTTTCCAAGAAATCTGTAACCAAACTTATGTTAGTTATGTCATCTTAGATTAATTTTCGGGTAAGATTTACACAAAAAATTATCAGTGCTACAAATGATTAGTATCCTGAAGTTTAAACTTACCAAAAACCCATAACATGCATCATACTGACATGTTTACACAATTCCGACTCCATAATTTATAACGCCAGTACTAATAGCCAGAGGCGCGTCACGTATGCCGCCAAAATAGCGATCACGTGAACAAGCTGAATTGTAGACCAATCACAAGAAGTATAACAGCTCTCATGTTAACGGTACCCAATGGCTGATCGTTTTCTGTTTGCAGCGTAAGCTGTTCACGTGGACAGTAGTGACTGCTGCACGCCGGCGGGTGCGCGCAGGGGCCAGCGCAGAACGAAAAGTGGTTGGGAGGGGTTGGCGTGCGATTATTTCCAGCGAGCTTCGTAGTAGGGCCGTTGACGGCCTGGTGGCTGTGGGCGGGCGGGTGGTGT